GATCCTGACATCCCAGGGAGGTGGGAGCACCCAAAGGGAGCTGTGACCACCCTGAGCTCAGCTTCAGCCAGGCTGGGAGTGACTCCTGATGCTTCCCAGGCTGCTCCAAGCATCCTGGGCACCTGCTTGGCTGGCGCCGGGGTCCTGCTCTGCTGCTGTCCCCTCTCCCAAGGGACCCGCTGCTGAGCGGCGCTGGTGCTTCCCTGGAGAGCTCTGCCTGGGGGCTCCAGCCCATGAGGAGGATTAAATGACTGCAAACCATAAAGGAGTCTGTAAAATTAGCGGCTAATTAGCAGCGACTGCAGGGCACATCACACCGCGGGGGCTCCCCGGCCCCAGACATTTGCATTCGCTCGTAGCCCAGAGCTACCAACGTGTAATTGCAAAATTAGGGCAAAACAAGTGATTTGTTGCTACAAATGATAAGAGGAAATGGAAACACCCTCCCGGCAGAGCTCTGGCGAGGCGGACATCAGACTCCTGGCACAGCGGTCTGTGCCTCCTGGGCACCGCTGGCAGGACTTGATCCAGCCGCTGGCAAAGGCGGGGCACAGCACGGACAGACAGGGCTGGAACAGGGAATGGTGTCCCCTGCCACCAAATCTATTGTCCCCTGCTGCTGCACGGAGGGACAGGCTGGCACAGCCCCCAGAACGGGGAGGGGGATGGACCAACAAATGACCAACCAACCCAAAACGGATAATAACAATCCCACGGATCAACAAATAACCCCTGGGCATGGGTTATTGTTGGTGGATTTGCTGGGTTGGGATTTTCCCTTCCCTCTGCTCTGGTTGCAGCAGCCCTGAGCTGGGCAGCCGCCGAGGGGAGGACTGCAAAGCATTTGCTGTAGAATCTAAAGAATTTGGAGTGAAACCCCCAAAGAAATTAAGGACAGATGGGTTAGAGGGGAAAAAAGAAACCCAAATTCCTTCTGCTGCTCGGTGCCTGCCTCCAGGGCACTGCCTCATCCCTGCCCTGGCTCTGTGCTGCCCGGGGGAGGGATGGGTGTCACCCTGCGTGCCAGGCAAGCTGGCAGAACCTCTGCCCTGGGCATGATGCTCCTGCAGCACCCAGGGCCATCCCCACTCTGCCCATGGCTGACCCTGATGGCCCTGGGGGACTCGGGGCTCCTCGGGAGAGCCCCTTGTTCCCAACCCTGGCGAAGCATCAGCTCCTCGAGCGGAGCAGGAGGCACGTGGGGCGAATTGACCTCCTCTCCCCAGCCAACAGCTCCCGAAGAGGCTCCGGGGCTGAGATGAACCCAGGGGCTGCCCGGGGTGTGAGTCCATCCCCACACCCGTGTTTATGTGCTGTAATCACCGGGATTAGGAGCTTTCTGCTTGGGCTGGCGCTGGAATGCTGCCGGCACCGCGTTGGCCCCAACACCTGCGTGCTGACTTCAACACCTCAAATATTTCTGATGCAATTCCCCTTTTTTTCCTCCCCTCCTAAAGCAAACTCGACGTGTTAATGGGTAGAAATGAAGCATAATTGTTCCTTTGTGTGAAATCAGTCGGTAAAATAGCAGCAACTTGGCTGCAAAACTGGAGCTGCAAACAGGTTGGGGTGGGATCCACCTGGGCTTCGCTCCGGGACCGCCGGGAGAGCAAAACCTTCTCCTGTGGAGCTGCTGGTGGGAGGGAAACCAGTGGGCAGGGGTGGGAAATGGTGCATCTTCTCCTCTCTGAAGGTGCTGTGGATAATTGCTGTTGGATAGCGCTGATTTTACCAGGGGGTATTTGCTGTGTTCCCGTGTGCCAAGCTGAGGTAAACGACATCCAGATGAAGCCAACACTGGCACTGTCGTGGCCAGGGAGGAGGAGGAGGCAGAGTGTGTGCGGATGCAGCCCTCCAGATGCAAACAATAAGGCCAACGGATCTTGATTTCATCTGTCAAGTAATTGGGCTGGAAGTCTGTGATGCTAATGACTCCACATCAAGCGGCTCAGCACTCAGATGTGACCCATCCCGTGCCGGGGGGGGGGTGTGGGGGCTGCAGCCCGCGGTGGCCGTGATGAATATCCCCCAGATGTGATCCCACAGGGGAGCCCCGACCCACATGTGTGTTATTAATGATGCCGAAGATCTGAGGTTAAAAATGACCACGGGGTGTTCACGTGAGCCCCGGGGTGGTGGGTCCTGTGGGCTGGTCCTGCTGGGGGGGGTGATGGGAGAGGGGCTTGGGGGGGGTCTGGCAGCCCTGGGTGTTCTGGGGAGCCAGAGGATGCTCCAAGGAGCTCCAGCAGTTGTGAGAGGTAAAGGTGGGGATGACAGGAGGGAGAGGGATGCAGGGATGCCCTGGGAGGCACATGGGGGCAGAGCCAGCAGGCTCGTCCCAGTTGTCCCTGTTCAGGGGGTGATGGGCAGCTGGTCCCTGCATCTAAGGCTCTGACAGCCTTTGGTTTACTGTCTCCAAAGCTCCCCAGCCTCATCCTGGCAGCTGGGATGCAGAAGCCTGGCTGTGGCTATATGACACCCTCAGCATGAGGAGGTGCCTGGAAAACTCACTGGTCCCCTGTGCTGGGCTGCTCCAGTCCCCTCTGGCATTGCCCTGGGGACTCCAACCCTGCTGCAGGAGGGACCTGTGGCACAGCCAGGGGTCTATCTGGGCTCCATCCCCAAGGTACAATCCTAAAACCTGTTCCCAGCATTTTGGATTCATGGGGGCTCTTGTTTTTGTCTGAGCTCCCAAGCTGGGTCTGGTGATGGGTGAGATCCAAGGTGGGGACATCCATCCATCCCCACAGCCCTGTACCCCCCTCCATGGTCCTGTGCTCCCTCCAGTGAGGGCTGTTGGGCTTTTCCCTTCTCCAGGAGGCTCAGAGGATGTATCCATGAAGATCCCATGGGAGCAGGGGCTGTTGCTGTTGGGATGTGTTTGGCAGGAGCTGGAGGAACAGGCAGAGGGTCCCACGTGGATGAACCAGGGCTGGCGTTGGGGGCTTCTGCTCCAGCTGACTCCACTGGGAAGTGACAGGAGAGTCTTGGAGCACCAGCACCCAAGTGCTTGGACGATCAGAGGCGTGGGATGCACCAGGAGGCTGTGCTGGTCCGAAGTCCCTGGGGTGGCTCTCCCGGGCTGAGGAGCCCCAGGTTATGGGCGGCTCCGCTCCCGTCTCCGTCTGCCCCGGCTGTGGCAGAGCCCTGGTGATGAGCCTGAAAGCTCCTGTCATCAGCCCCACTCCAGACAATCCCTGGCTCCTTCCCGCAGCCCCGGCAAGCACTGACCTGCCTTTTGGGGAGGGGCTGGGGCTCGGGGGTCACACAGCACATGTGGGGCCTCTGCTATGGGAACCAGATGCCAACATCCCCGGGAAAGGGGATCCTCAGCACCACGAGGCTTTTGCCTCTAAATGGGGCTTTTCCCCCCGGAGCTTTCCCCGTGGATGTGAGCTGGGAGGGGTCTGGGCACCGGGAGGCAGATCCCAAAGCTCCGAGGTGCTGGGCAAGTGCTCACAACCCCCGGCACCTGCGGTTTGTTGGTGCACGAGGTACGGCAGCCCCGGGGAGCCGCGTGTACCCCACACCCTCTCCCACCTTGGAGCCCTTCCAGCCTTTCCCTGCTGATTGCTTCAGCATGTGCATCACACACGATGAGAGATGAGCGGGATCAGCCCTGGCCTGCTGGGTGAGGCTCAGCAGCTGGACCCAGCCCTGCCCTTGCTCCGGAGGCAGCGGTGCTCCCGTTCCACTCACTGCTCCCTGATCCCGGGGGACACCCAAGGGCTTCCTGGAAAAGGGGTGTCTTTCACCTGGGAAGTGGGGTTGTGGCCCCAGTGTGACCTGCTGCCCACCAGGCTTTGGTCTCAGCAGCTGAGTATCCACAATGCATCCACTGCTTGGGGAAATGGGTGTCATGGAATCCTGGAATGGTTTGGGTTGGAAGGGACCTTAAAGCCCATCTCATCCCACCCCCTGCCATGGGCAGGTACACCTGCCACTAGCCCAGGTTGCTCCAAGCCCTGTCCAACCTGACCTTGGATACTTCCAGGGATGAGAGCTCCAGGCTGGCCCAGGGAGTGGGACCCTCCCTGTCCGTCAGGTGAAAAGTCAGGATTCTGGCCCAAAGTTGGGGCCTGATCCTGCTGCTGCTACTGAAAAACTTGTGACATTCAGGTTTTAGCACATCAGACTCTGGAGGCTATGTTGCCACAGTGGAGGTTTTGCTGGGGGTGCAGCTGGCCGGGGTTTGATCCCGTGGTTGGTTTTGCCTCCCTCTTTGACACCACATTATTTTCCTGTTTCCAAACCCATCCAAACACCTGACAGAAGGACACTGGGAGCTGCCTCCCTCCTGGCTGGCCCCAGAGAGCCCTTTGAACCCCCCTTTTTCCCCTCAATGCATTTGAGATGTTTTCTTCCAAATTCACGTTTCATTAATTGCTTGGCTACGCTCCAGATGTTCCAATCCTCGATCCCACACCTTCCTCTCCCTTTGGCCACTGGATATTTGGCTGAACCAGAGCCAAATGAAAGCTACCCCCCACCTGTGCATGGAATTAGCAGTGGGCATGCCAGAGCTCCATGGACTCGTAAACGTGGCCATCTGCACCTGGCGACAGCATTTTTTTAGAGAAAACAAGGAAAACACCCCCCTACCCTCCCCACATGGGTTGAGTTTGGGGTTTTTTGTTCCCCTGGAAAGAAAAAAAAAGAAAAAAAGAGAGGAAAGTTGTAAAGGATTTGCTTGGAAGAAGCCATTTCCCACAGAGATTGGGCACGGCCACGCAGAGCTCGTGGCTGTGACTCAGGGAAGGAGGATGTGTCCCAGCTGGATTGGGAACAGCTCTGCGTGCTTCCCAGCTGATCTGGGGAGAGTTTAGGATGTAATTCTCCAGCTGTGCCCTTCAAGGTGAAGAGCTGAGCCTGTTTTATGGCACAGAGCTGGCCCTGCCTGCCCAGGGAATGGGGAACTCGGCTCCAGCCTTTCTCCAGTGGGTCTGGTACCACAGTCCCACCCTCGGGGCTGCCCCTCCCTCCTTTGCCACCCTCATTTCATGGGGTGCTGCTGCACCTTGCAGGCTCCCCAGTCCCACACCAGTGTTGTCCCAGTGCCTTTGGTGCAGCCCCCAGCCCAGCAGCAGGGCACAGTGCAACAGGGACATGACATAATGGAGTCAGGCCTGGTTTTAGGCTAAAAAATAGGATTAAACCTTGCAGTGACTCTGTTGGTAACGTGCTGTAGGTGCATTTTAAAATAGAAATCAGAGAAACATTGAATCCCAGAATGGTTTGGTTTGGAAGGGACCTTAAAGCTCGTCCAGTTTCCCCCCCTGCCGTGGGCAGGGACACCTTCCACCAGCCCAGGTTGCTCCAAGCCCTGTCCAGCCTGGCCTTGGATCTCACCTGCTGTGGCCAGGAGAAGTTCCCTCATGTTCTCCTCCTCCCCCAGAGCTGAACTGATGCCTCATCTTCCCCCACTCCAAGTGGGATGACACTATTGATTTAGACCTGCGAGTGAGCAGTGGGTGTTGAAACACCAGCAGGATGAATTCCTGCACTCCCAGGCTATTGATGGGCTGCTCCCAGCCCTTACTGGGAAGCTTCCAAGCTCATTAGAGAGATGTCTATTTGCCATGTAATTAACTCCAAATGAGACCAGCAATGAACACACCATTATGGTTCCAGGGAGTTACTGAGCTTGTAAAGAGCAGGTAAACAGCTGCCAGGATCCCCCTGGCTGGACAGGCAGCGGCCTGTGGAGCAGATGGATGAGCAGAGACACAGGGATAACGGGAATAAAGGATGTGAGGAGTGCTGGAGAGGCTGATAGAGAAGGGTTGAAGGTGGGGCTTGAGATTTTGCTCCCTCCCTCCCTTCCTGAGAGGGACAGAATGGCTCCAACAGACCCTCAAGGGCTTTGCCAGCTCCCCAGCACTGAATGCACCTCCATCCTCAGGTTTTTGGGCTGAAGGTCCCCTGAAACATCCACCAGGAAGCCAAGAACCTCACTGAAAATCCCAGTCCATCTGTGGGCTGAGCTGGATGGGCTCCACACTGTCAGCTCTGGCTGCATCCATCATCCACTGCACAGTGTTGTTCACCATCCCAGTGCTTGGTATTCCCTGGCTCCTTCCAAAGGGGACTTTCTCTGCTGGAAATGCCCTTGCTGCTCCATGCATCCAACCAGGATAAGGAAATTCCTCTTCTTCCACAGATCTGTGTGACCAGTCACTGGGTAACAGCAAATTAAACACAAAAAAAGCACTTTTTGATGCCTTCTCCCATCCCTGTCATTTTATGACTCCCAGGATGATGTGAAACTGGTGTCACTCCTGTACCTTCACACAGGAGGGCACCAGGAAGGGAACAGCTGCCCCCAGTTTGCATAAATATGGGAAATGAGGAGGGAATTGGGGTCAGGGCAGGGCTGGGAAGCTGCACTGAGGATGTTGGAGTCCTGGGGATGGGGTTTGCTCAGCAAAGGGCTCTGTCTGATGCCCTGTGGCTCTGCCTGCCCTAATGAAAATCTCACATTTCACATGTATTATTTTTTAAATTGAAGCTTTTTTTAAAAAAAAAAAAAGACAACAAAAAAAATCAGGGTTTTGGCTGCTTTATCCCCTTATTGGGATTACTTAAATCAAAAGCAGAAATGGGGGGGAGGCTCCTTTTGTGATTCCAGCTGGCTGAGAGCCAGCTGTGGCTGTGCTCCCCGGGCTGGTGTGGAGGCAGAGGGTGGCTGGGGGTCCCCGTGCTCCAGGAGGTCACTGTCCCAAAGTGCCACCAGGAGAACAACAAGGAGCTGGTGAACCCACGTCCCTCCCGGGCTGGTGGAGGGAGCAAGGTCACACCCTGCCAAAACCCTCCCTCCCGGGATGCTGCTCCCTTCCCTTCCCAGGAGAGCGGTTTGTCCCGGGCCACGCTGCCTCCACCTGGCTCAGCCCCCAAATCCCAGCGGAGACGGGGCTGGAGCGGGGAGCTGAGGTGACCAAAGGTCTTGGCAGTGACAGGACAGCAGCTTACTGGAGCTGGTGGGTGTTTTTGCTGCAGGAAGCCCTCTCTTCCTCCCGGCCCGGGGCCGTCTCCTGCTCCCCGGCATCGCTGTAGCTACGGGCGATTTTCTGCGCTCGAGTTTTGCAAAGCCATATTAAGAAAAATCTCGCCCTGGTGCTGCTGGCTCTGCTCCAGGCTGGAAATTGCATTCCCCTGCTTGAAATTCCTCCCGGAGTTTCAGATGGAGAATGTACAACTTCACTTTCCATCTTGAGCTGCTGTCACACATTTTAATAACAGGGCCTGGGCTCCGCCCCAGCGGTGGCCCCGTGCCAGGATTCTGGAGCGAACCCCTTGGAGTGGTTGTGGTGAGGGTTGGGATGGCTCTGGTGCTGCTGGAGCTGTGGCTCAGCCCTGGCCCCTCTGGCCCCCCCAGCCCAGCTCAGCTCCTTTGAGCGAGGGTTTGTGGGTTGGTTTTCCATCCTTGGTGATGAGTTCTGGTGTCTCCTTTGCCCCAGGTGATGGGAAACCCGGAGCAGACAGGATCAGCTCCGTGTGCTGCACCAAGCACTCCTGATCCTAATCAGGAGACAGGATCCATTCCTCCTCCTTGCTTATATCCTAGGATATTCTATGATCTGCCCGGGCTTTGCTGGCCCTGGTGAGCTCTGGCAGAGATCCCACCTGGGTTTCTCCCTCGGTAAAACCTGCCACTCCCCCCTGCAGGATCAGGATAAATCCCTCTGCAATGTGACGTTGATGATGATGGGTTTTTTCCAGTACCCCATGGGCAAACCTCAAAGCTTGACAGGTCTCTGGGGAAAGGCCAGCTGAGCTGGGTGACAAGGGGTGGCCTTTTCTGAGCCCCTCGGGGCGGCATTGCCAGAGACCCCAGTGACATCCCTGTCCGAATGACTCAAGGGACAGCTCATGGTGGGGACCACAGTGGAGAGTGACCTTGTCTCCTTGTCTGGAGGGGCTGAGCTGCTTTAGGGATGGTGACAGGGCTGCTCTTCCAGTCAGACCTGGGCACGCCCCATCCCTGGGGACAGGGCCACCTGCATCCCTAGGGATGGGGTTTGCCTCCCTGGCTGCTGGTGCTGCTTTGCCTCTCTCCGAGCTCCCTTTTATGGGCTGCTCTTTGAACCCGAGGAGTTGAGCTGTATTTGTACAACACACCACCATAATCAGGGAAACAGCCTTCCTAATTGGATTGGAAGGGCCTGGAGTAATTGGCTGTTTGGAGCAGCCGTTTCGAATCAAGCTGTGAGCGCCTTAATAAGTTTGCTCGCCTTTATCAGCCTGGCAAACCCCGCCGTGGAGGTGACCTGCTAAATGATCTCCCCTGTTCCCAAAGCATTTTTCATCCCTGCTGATCCCTTGAGCCCTTTCCTTTCTCTCATTGTAATAACAAACTTTGGGAAATCCCAGAGCACCCGTGCTGCGGCTCCTGCCTGCCTGCAGCAGAGGGGGGGCTCTGGAGGAGGGTCGTGGTTCTGAGAGAGCTGGTTGGGATGCAGGAGTCCCCATCCTGCTGGATTTGGGGTGGGGGACAGGGTGGGCAAGGGGGGCATTGAGCTCACGTGGTGCTGTGCTGATATTGCTGTGCTTGGCCCTCAGGGCTCGTCACCGGGCTGCCCCTGATGACCCTCTCCTGCTTTGGGACCAGGATTTCAGCCCACAATGGGAACAGCTGACTCCAGGTGAGCCTGGGATGGGACACAGGGGGATTTGGGGATGGTTGTCCTCAGAGCTTCCCTTGTCCCGGTGTCTCTTTCCTTTAGGGCTGAGCTTGCACAGAGAAGAGGGAATACACCTGGCTAAGGAAACCCACCCCCAAAAAACCCAATTCAACCCACATTTATGTGCACAGCTACTGCTGGCATCAGCTCTCATGCCTTTTGAAAGGGCCACTGGACACTCCCAGCTGAGGCAAACTGCAGATCTGGTGCTGGGTCTGCACGGACGGAGTGACACCAACCCTGAGCATCCCACGGGCTGGGACACCTCTGGTACCCCCTGGAAGCCTGGCAGCCCAGGAATCATCACTGTGTGGGAGCTCCCAGCCAGCTTGGACCTTTGTCCACGCTCCAGACCCTCCATGGAGCATGCCAAGGTGGGATGCCAGGACACAAGGCATGGCAGTGCCTGTCCCTGCTCATCCCAGGGGTGAGGATGAATCCTCCCAGTGCCATTCCCAAGGCATGGCTGGCTGTGACAGCTCCACACTGTGCTGCTCCCATGGTCCATGCCCTGCAGAGCCACCCTGGGTGACCACTGCCAACTGAGAGCACTGAGCAGGGGGAGCAGCAGAGCTGCTTGTTGCAGAACTCCTTTATTTCAACCAAAACGTCCTGATTTTGCTAAAAAATTGCACCTGAGCTGGTTGTCCTCAATTGCCTGAGCTGCAGGCAAGGCAGGGAGCTGGTCCCTGTCCAATGGGGTCTGAGCTGAATCCAAGGACGCTCCTGCAGGGCCCCCCCAGCTCATCCAGTGCAGGACTGGGGTGGCCCCGGGCACAGCACAGCCCCCGGAGCACTCTGTGCCTCCTGCCCTCATTGTGGCGCCTGGAGCGAGCCCCCAGCTCCTGTTTTAAGCCTTTCCCCTCAATTTTGGAGGTGAGAATGGAAGAAATGCTGCTCCTCCGACTGCCCCAGGGGGGAGCTGGCAGTGCCAAGAGGCCCCGTGGCATCAGCTCTGTGCCCTGCACTGAGGATGAGGAGGGTGGGAATGCTCTGCCCCCCCTTCCTGCCTTTCCAGAGACTCCCTGGCTCTGCTTGGACACAAGTGTGTCAGAATGGATAGATTCTAGCCAAACGTTTCCATTTTCACAAATTGGCGTTTTCCAACAACAACATTCCCCCCCCCAACCCAAACAGGGAGCTGGAGCCGTTCCCGACGCTCCCGCCCGGTGTGGAACAGTTCCTATTTCCAATCCTTACGTAAACCCAACAAGAGCTGGCAAGTGCCACGCCACGGATTCTGGACGCGTTTGTATTTATCAAACTGCTCTCGAGAACAGATTCCCTTCCTGCATGTAATCTTTCCTGCTCGGTTTTCCCCGGGGAACCTTCGCCTTGGGAGCTGGAAGGGATCTCCCGTTCTTTCCTCCCGCTGAAAAGCTCCAGCGCGGGACGGGCCGGCCACGAGAGGGCAACCAAAGCCCTTGAGGCCCAGGCAGCCCCTGGTCAACACCGTGGTCACCTGCAGCTCTGCAAACACGTGTCACCCTGCAACCATGTCAGCCTGTCACTGTGTCACCCTGCAGCTGTCACCCTGCAGTTCTGTCACCCTGCAGCCCTGTCACTGTGTGTCATCCTTTCAGTCCTTTCACCCTGCAGCCCTGTCACCCTGCAGCCACACCCGCAGCCCTGCCACTGTCACCCTGCAGCCCTTTCACCCTGAAGTCACACAGACATGCAGCTGCATCACCCTGCAGCCGTGTCACCCTGCAGCCGTGTCACCCTGCAGCCCTGTCACCCTGCAGCCCTGTCACAGTGTCACCCTGCAGCCCTGTCACTGCACAACTTAATAAGTTAATTAAGACAGTGCTGATTTCAGAGAGAGAGGAGGAAGGCTTTGCACAGGGCTGGGAACTGTCCCAGGGAACCATCCCAATCCATCGTCCATCACCCATGGATTTTCACCCACACCACCTCAGATGCCTCCCTTGGGCTGGTTTGGGAATGTGTCGGGGAACGGGTGGAAATCCAGGACAGGCCTTCCCCTCCCAAACAATAACCACGGGCACGTAGGGGCTGTTTCTTCTGCAGTGGGAGCCTGGGAGCTGCATTTCCAGAGTACTGGGGTTTGTGCCCATTTATTTCCAGCCTGGTGCCTGCCTGGGATCCCACAGCACTGTGGAGCTGGAGCTGCAGCCTCCCTGGTGGGGCCCTTTCCATGATGCCAACGGCCACGAACACCCACCGGAGCCCCGGGAATTATAAGGAGAAAATTTGATGGGGAAATGAGGGAAATCATGGGAAAACATGTGAAAACACAGGCAAATGTGTGGAAATATGGGGAAATGTGGGGAAACATGGAGAAATATGGGAAAACATGGAGAAACATGGAAAATCAAGCAAAAATATGGAAAAACCTGGGAAAACGTGGGGAAATGTGGGAAAATGTGGGGAAATGTGGGGAAGCATGAAAAACCAAGGGAAAATACGGAAAAACCTGGGAAAACCTGGGGACATATTGGAAAGCATGTCCCCCAGCACGGTGGGGCCAGGAGTGCTTCCCCTTGGCGGGGGCTGCCCTGTCAGGGTGACCCCCATGCGTGGGGTGCCCCTGTCCCCGGGGGGACCCCGGATGTGCCCCCCGCGTTGTTGCGCGCCCCCCCCCCCAGTCCCCTCCCTCCTTCCTTTCCTTCCCTCCCTCCTTTCCTTCCCCTCCCTTCCCCTCCTCGTGGCGTCGCCGCCCCCACGCGCGTGTCTTCGCCCTCCCCGCCCCGCGGGTGGGCGTGGGGGCGGCGCGGGCGAGGGGAAGGGGTGGTTGGGGGAGTTGGTCCGGGGGGCCGGGGCCGGGCCGGGGTGCGCGTGGGAAGCGCGGGGGAGGGGGGCGCGGGCGGGCGCGGCGGCGGTGCGGGCATGCGCCGGCCCCGATGGGATGTAGCGGGCGGGCTGCTGGGACCCGCCGGGGCCGGCCGCGATCGCTTGCTCCTCACCATGATCCGTCTTCATTCACCTACTCTCTTCTCTTGCCTGCCCGGGCCCTGCGAAGCCGCTGACCCCGCTGCGCTGCCCGCGGCCCGGCGCGCGCCGCGGGGCCGGGGGGCGCGGGGGCGCGGGGGCGCGGCCGAGGGGGCGCGGGGGGGCGGGCAGGCCGCCGGTTCCCCCAGGCCATTCATCGTGGGCGTGAAGAAGGGCGGACGCGGGGCGCTGCTCGAGTTCCTGCGGGCGCACCCCGGGGGTGCGGGCGTGGGCGCGGAGCCCATTTCTTCGAACAGGTGCTACGAGAAGGGCTGCGCTGGTACAGGTAAAGGGGCGCGGCGCGGGGGGCCTCGCGGCACGGGTAATTAATTCGCCGAGCGGTGTTAATTGTCGCCCGGGACGGGGCGGCTCTGCACAGGCTGTCCGAGCGCGGCGGGTCCCGGGAGAGAAAGGGGGTTCGAAGGGGCTGAGAGGGGGGAGCGGGGAGGGGGATGTGGGCTTCCGGGCGGGACGAGAAGGGGGGCGGCAGGCTCCGACCCTCGCCTGGCCTGCAGAAGGGGCTGGGGGCTGGTTTTGCGGGGCTGCGGCTGAAGTCGGGAGCGGTGCGAGTGTGAGAACCGATCCCGTGTCACTTCTGTCCTCGTATCCCTCCGTGTCCCTCCTATCCCCGTGTTCCCCCGTCCCTACATCCTCCTTTTCCTCCCTGTCCCCGCGCCTCCCATCCCGCATCCCATCCGGCCAGGGACGAAACCGGCAGCAAAAATTTGCTCTCTTAACTCTCCAGCCCTTGCGATTTTAACCTTTATCACTCCATCCTCAGCCGTCCCACCGGGTTTCTTTAGGAATTGTTTTATTGGCGTGGAACCAGGATCTCGGGCTTGATCCTGTCTGTTCTCGGAACGGGGACCGGGAGAGGGGTAAATCGCTGTCGGTGGGTTTGTGGCAAAGGGCAGAGCCGGAGTGATCCAAGGGAGTTTGTTTTTGGAGGATTTCAGTGGAATTGAACTCTTCAGGCGATAAAGCCTTCGGAAGAGCAGCTACTGTGCATGTGGTGTCTATTAAAGTGCCGTCTCCCGGCCAACTCCGGAGCGGCCGGGCCAAGCGGAGTCGGAGCGATAAGTCCCTTGAAGTCGGTGGTGGAATCTGGTCCGTTATTTTGAAGAGAGTCCAAATGTGTCGATGTATAAAAGCGCTGCGGTGTTCTCGGGGAAACATCTGAAAATAATAAAAGGAGTAGCTCTCCCTGTCCTTCCTGCCTCTCCATCCCCTGCTCCCCGAGCCCCGCGGGAATACCGTGTTTCTTTACGTGCTCTCAATGTTTCCCTGCGTTTTGGGGGCGGCTGCAGCTTCCCCATCCTCGCCAGAATAATAACCTGTGAAAAATCAGCGTGCTTAATGGAAAGGATAATTTTAGTGGTAATTTTACCCGCAGAGTTTCAGCTCTGTGAGCCCACATCTGGGCTGTAAAGTTAGGGCTTAACACACCTTCAAACCCAGTAAGTAGCGGCGCTTATTTTTACGGCTGCGTTAATATCCCCGTGATTTATTAGCTCGTTCCTCGGCACCGTTTGTGTCTGTGCTGCTCCAGAAACAATAATGATGATAACTAATCTTTTGGGGCGAGGACTGCAAGATAGATCTCACTTGGCAGAATGGGAGTTTGATGACTGGGAGCACATAATTAAAGCGGGGAAGATCGAACGCTTTCATATCTCTCGCCGTAGCCCAGCGAGGCGTCCGCAGGATGGACCACAGAGAGGAGGAGAAATAAATCTCAGCTCGGATGGCTGTGCCGGGAGTTTTCAGTGCTGTAAGCGCTTGCAGGGAGCCTGGCCTGGTACCAGCGAGATGTTTTAAGATGATTCTGCATATGGTTGTGGTAAATTCGGAGAAATGGAGCGGGGAAGGTTTTTGGAGCGGGGGAAGCGGCCGCTGGGCTGGGGAGAAGCTGCATCCTTTGGAGGGAGGAAAAAACCAGTAGATGTTTTGCTTTAACTCTGCATAGAGTAAGTGTGTTTTCAATCACACTCACAACTATTTCCCTTCACTTCCTCTCCTCTTTGCCTCTTGTTTTGTCTTCTCCCAAGACCTTGCCTATACTGAGGGATTTCTTTCCCTGGGAAAGCCAGACAGAGCTAAATGTTTAAAGCTGGGGTGAAGCTGGAGTGAAGCAAAAGAGAAGTTGGACAGAAATTCAGGTTTTTCCAATGAATATCTCAAAAGTGGTGTAAACATTTTTAAGATATTTGAACTTGCTAGGAAACCAAAATTACACCAACTGCTTCTCACGCCAAGATATTTGGCCCGAAGGCACCTGTAGGTCGCTGCTTGTCTTGAGAAAATGTGGAAAAAAAATTCCCTTGGAAATATTGCTCCAGAATTATTTTGTTCTTACTTGGAAGCTCAGTCCTGTAGCTATTTCGCTGCTGTGTCAGGAGTATCTGCTTGTGGGTGATGAGTAGTCTACACTATAAGCTACCGACTGAAATAATTTATTCTTACCGATTGTTTTTATTTAATTTAAATTTGAAATAGCCCAAAGTCCCTTTTTTTTAACAGTGAAAAGAAAATGTTCTGCGAAAGCATTTCATTCAGAATCCCTTGAGTTACTACAGGTTGAGCTAATTCTAAGAAGATTAAACACCTTTTCTAGGCTGCAGCATAAATTACCTAATGGCTAATCCAAGCATTATGGGATGTTTTATCCTCGAAAAAACCACTGGTTTAATTTTTTTGGCACTCAGTGCTGCTTGAAGAAAACCTGAATAAAAAGAAGAGGCGATGCTGGTGTGTCTGCCCCACTTTGGGGTGTGTGAGGGTCCTGTTTAGGAGCCTGGCACTGTCTGTCTGTCTCTGCTTTATGGGAATGTAGGTGCAGGGAAATGGCAAGAACTGAATGGAATCCCAGATGTTTGCTGTGATATTTAGGAATTCATTGCAAAGCTTTGAGGAGCTGCTCGGCTTGAGGGACCAGGGCTAGATCCTGCCCTGGCCTGTGGGAATTGAGGAAAATGGTGCTTGTGGGCTGAGTGGCTGCGGGGTGAAGGGATTTAAGGGGGGGAACCCCCTGGGTGTGTGTGGGACAGCACCTGCTCCCAACCCAGAGACCCCCCGAACAGATTTGGGCTCACGGGTGGCGTTTGGGGCGCTCGGGGTGTTCCCACCTCGTACAGTCCCTGTGCAGGGGCTCCCATGGGCTCTCCAGCAGACACTGCTCTGCTCCACTGGTGACATTTCGGGGGTGTAGTGGAATCTTTGCATGGATTGTTCCCTCTTTGGTTGCCAGAGCTGGTTTGTTTCCCACGCAGAGGTTCCGGCCGCTCCATCGGTCTCGCCCTGGGATTCGGCACAACCTCGGGAATTCTGGGGCTGTGGGGACAGGGACAGGAGAAACGGGGGTAACAGCAGCTTTGGGACACATGGCAGTGCTGGGACAGGGGCTTTGCAGAGGCTGGTTTGCATAAAAGGGAGTTTGAGGGAATTCAAGTTTGAGGGAATTCGTGTGGAGAGCGCTCAGCTTGTCCAAAGAAGTTTCCTCATCTCCATCTGCCAAAACTTTGTGGCAACATCAGCTCAATGTGACGCTTTTCCTCTGTCTTGTGTTTCCTCACATGATCTGTTATCCCAGGCCCTCTTTTCCATCTTGTCTTCCTGCTTTTTTCCAATAGCCAAAGAAAGAGTTAGACAGGAGTGGGGCTGGGCCCAGCTCCCAGCGCCCCGTGTGTCCGTCGGGGTTGTGCTGTGTGAGCTGTGCCCTGGATGATGGCACACACTGCATTTCATAGGAACTGTAAAGAATTCCATGTTTTCTTACAGTTTGGGCCACAAGTATTAAAAAGTACTATGGGATGACTAGTGAGTGGCCAGGCTGGAGCTCCTCAGCTGGGTGTGGTGGGACACAAGGAGCTGGAATCCTCGCCGCGCATCCTCTGGCCCTGCAGAGCCAGCCCGGAGCTCCAAGTCTCCCAGAGACCAAATTTAGCTTTTTGTTATCATTTTCCCTTCTGATCCGTGCAGGTTTGCAAGAGGGGCGAGGAACTCATCGTGGGGTTCCTCACCCATCTGTGCTCCTGTGCCCGGAACAGCGCCGGGATGTCCCAGCCCAGGCACATCTCCCTGTGCCCGGGGGAGACGGACGGGGAGCAGAGAGCTGCTCCATGGGATGTGTGGGGTTTACCCCCCTCCCTTTCTTCAGACCCATTCATAGGAGCCAATAACGCTCTTGAAAGGCATCCAGGATTTCTTGAGCCAGACTTTGTTATCTCGGAACCTCGCAACCCCGAAGCCTTTGAGCGGCAGGGAAAGGACTCGGCTCCGGCGCTGCTCTTTTGACTTTTGCTGTGAGTGTTATTGGCAGTTGAAAAGTGGAGCTAAGTAGATGCCTTGAGGGGTTTTTGTGTGTGTTGTGATTGTACAGACAGATCAAGACACTCTATAGCGCTGAGCTGCTGAATAAAATCAGCTCCTCTGGAGTCGCCAGGCTGCGTTTTGGCACCGGGCTTGGATCGCCTTGCAGGGAGAGCTTTTCGCAGGCGCATTTAAGAAACACATAGGTGGGAAGGGACAAAGGAATCCTGCAGGAGTCAGATGGCGATGCACTGAGACCTGCTCCGGGACATTATCTTTATTCATTGACACCGGCTAATCTGCTCTCCTGATGGACTCGGTTTCAGCGCTGAGAGTGGCCCTTGTTTTCCTGGTGCCTTTGCAGACATTCAGCCCTGCAGCTTCTTGGCTTCATTACTTTGCAATCTCTTCTCTTTTTTTAACTTCCATTCAAAAATGAGACCTTTCTGTCTCAGCTTCCCTTATTCACACCCCCGTGTTTGGAAAATAAAACCTAAAATACAAAGAGAACATGCAGGAAACCTGAGAAAAAGCTAATTTTAACTAAGAACCAGATACTTTAAAGCTTTTATTTAAGGCATAGTATTTTTGATTGGCTTTTGTGCAGTGTTTTAGTCCAGCCTCTACACTTGAGACCGGGCTTAAGTGCTGGGTGCATCCGGTCTCCCTGATGATGTGCCCCTGTTTTCTGCTCCCTAACACATGTCCAGCTCTGCCTGGACTTGGGAGGCAATCCATAAAACGTGCAAAGTTTGGGTTTCTGCAAACTGCTTTCACGTGGGATTAAAAATAGCTTTTACTGCCACGATGAGGAATTAACATTTGAAACCATTTAAAGGGCTCCTTGACAGAGATTACTGTGGGCAGGGGGAGAGGGGCTGTGCCTGTCCTGTTTTAGGGGGCCTTTCCCCCCTGACACAGAGTAGGGGATGGGTGAGGGTTTGGAGCCTGACTCAGCCCTTCTGCTCCCCACTTTCA